GTGCACGGCCATGCAGTTCCTCTGACGGCCACTGAAGGCTGGTTCCAGAAGCGAGCCGGTCCTCATAGACGAACATGTTCACAACCCGGGACAAAAAGCTGTGCCTCCGCAGACAGAAACACATCTGCATTTTGCTTTACAGGCTCCTTGGCTGCTTGGCAGGTGTCCCAAATGAGTCACCTGTAGCCAATCACTGTTGGCCAGGCTTCATCTCACCTAATTGGTCACTGAACCGGATCTCGTCGCCATGTTTGTGCTGTTGCTTTTCTAATGCAGTGACCTGAATAATAACATAACTTGATGTGTCGTACAGACCATCCAAGAGGTTTGTGCTTTAGTGTTAGCAAATGAAACTGTGGTACTTTATCAGCCTGTTACTCAGCACTAATTAGAATAGAACAGAATAGAATGCCTTTTATTGTCATTATACACATGCACAATGACATACAGAGCATCTCCTACTCAGTGCAGACATGTGGGAAAAGAAAGGGGGTGAGGTGCAAAGTTCTGCAGCACTATACACATATGAACATGAAAATGTACAAATATAGAAATTGTGAAGAAAAAATTGTGTTAAATATTTACAGTCTGGGTTATTGCATGTAAATTAAGTTTTGCACAGTGGTGGTGGTAGTTGTGAGTCTGTGTATAGAGGGAAGACCTTGGGTTGGGGGGTGGAGCTGTGTTGTCAGTGCATGTGTGAGTTCAGGGTGTTTTGGGCTTTTGTGAAGAAACTATTCTTGAGTCTGTGGGTCTTTGTGCTGATGCACCAGGATGGAAGCTGTCCTTGATGATGTTTGTAGATCATGTAATAACAAATACCTGTGCTGTTGTACTCATACAGGTTATAAATGGAGCTTAATAGCTCTGGTTAAAGTCGTAGCACTCCACGCTGTCCAGCTTGCCAACTCAGTGCACTGAGGCACGTAGACACGATTAACACGACCTGTTGAAGTTCAAGGTGATTTAAGTCAGTGGTCCCGAACCTTTGGGCCACAGACGGAGTCGTTTGGTACCGGGCTGCAAGAGTCGAGGCTCGGGTGTGAAATGTCTGGTTTTCAGGGTTTTTATTGTTATTTTTTATTGTTAACTCGTTTTTCCCTGGGTCTGTTCCCATGTGTTATGAATAAATCGTCTTTTTTTGGTACCGGTACTGGTTTTATTTTGTTGTATTTATCTGCGACACCTTATATATTTTCATGTGACACCGTGAAAATATTGTTGGACATATACCGGTCCGTGGTGCGAAAAAGGATGGGGACCGCTGGATGTGCCACAGCTGTTTGTACCACACGGGCCGCTCTGAGTGTTTCACAAACGGACGATTTTCAGGGATTTTCCTGCACAACTATCTGCAGAGCTTACAGAGGAAGAGTCTAAAAATGAGAGCATTTCCAGTGGCATCAGCTCTCTGGGTAAAAATGCCAGAAGTCAGAAGAGAATGGGCAGGCTGCTTCGAGATGAAGGAAGACAAAAGTATAACTAAGATACGCAGAAGCAGATAGGCTGCAGCAGAAGACCACAACCACCAGGTGTGAATTTCCTGTTGTTAGCTACAGTTCACACTGGCTCACCAAAACTGAACATCAGAAGATCAAAAAAACGTCGCCTGAACTGATGAGTCTCAGTTTCTGTTGTAAACTTCAGATGGTCGGGTCACTGTTTAGCATAAGCGACGTGAACACAGGGACCCATCCTGCCAGGGTGCTGCAGCTCATGCTGTGGACGTCTTAGTAGCATCTAAGCATTTAAACACCACAGTCTACCTGAGTATTTCTCTTAACGATAACAGTGTACCGACTTCTGATGGTAAACTGGTTTTTCAAACATGACAATTAGGTCACTGTACTCAGATCAGGTGACCTGATCTCATGAGTCACCCGATCATCATGGACGTGCAGCCAACCAATCTGCAACTGTGCGATGCTATGATACTGTGTGATTAAACTCTCAGGAATGTTTGCAGCACTTCGTTGAATCTATGACATGAAGAACTAAGGCAGCTCTGACCCAGGTCTAGAAAAGTGTACCTAATAAAGTGGTGGGTGGTCTAAATGATCAGTTTTGTAGTGGAAAGGGATAAAAGCTGAACAACGAGAGTTTTGATCTTACCAATACGGCGTCCCGATGAAGGACATCCTGCGAGCGAGCGTGGCCGTGATCTGAGCTGAGATCCCAAAATCAGCTGCACAACAGAGGACAGTCAATGACAGTCAATCAAATCAATAAACGCCAAAATAACCACAAATTAAACACGTGTTCATATATTTCAGCGACTAAAACGAGACTCGCCAAGTTTATTTATTTCAGAGTTGCTGCGAAACGCTTCAAAAACTACGAGCGCAATCTCTGACACGTTTGTGCTTTCAGCAAATCAGGTGGAAATTCAGAGATCTAATTCATGATTTGGTTCTTCAGCAAACACGACAGGGGAGACGTCGTTGTGAGAACGTCTCTTTTTGCGGTGAATGAGTCATGCTAACCGTGCCGGTACAGTGCAAAGCAGACAGTGCAAACTTCCACCTACCCAACTTGACCTCGCCCTGATCGTTGAGGAGGATGTTGGCACCCTGAAAGGAAAAGAGGGCGAGATAAAACATCTTCTTCTATATATTTAAAAAAAGTCTTCTTTACCCACTCAGTGATCTTTAACTGAACCCACACAGGATGGAAATAAAAAAAACACGCACAAGATTCATTCAGCTTCATTTAAGAATGTATTTTTATAGCGTCTGTTCTGACTAATGCAGTTTATAGTTCCTAACTTTTGTTTGTTTGTTTTTTAACACGAAGAACTTTCTTTCAAATTACATCACTGAGCTGCTACGATTAAAATAATAATATATTTTTAGGACTACCATGAACCCAAATCTTAAGGACAACGTTGGCCTTGTTTACATCTTCTTCTCTGTCACCGCACTGACCCAGTTTTTCCAGTCTGCAAGCTTCATCTGCTGAGCTCTAACGTGCTCTCCCACAAAATAACAACATGGGGGGGAACAAAAAACAAAGAATAAAAATCTCACATCACATTTCGCTCACCTTAATATCTCTGTGGATTTTCCTCTCTGCATGCAGGTACTCCAGGCCCTGCACACACACACACACAACAAAATAAAAGCCTTTAATTTAACCTGATAACATTTACACTTGATAGACTCTGACGGGATTAAAAATTCCTCTAAATGCTCTAGTTTAACCATCACGAAACCACTGCTGCGTAAAAAGACCGGTGACACACTGTGTACAGTAGGACTGAAGTTACTGAAGTGTAGTTTCCTTTTTCAGTGTTGCACTTTGGAGACAGCCTGTGCACTCATTTCACACACCTGTGACGTTTGTCTGGTTTAGGGGACGGTTTGTTTTATATCAATTATTTTGTAGCTCGTTGTCTACCTCGCAGCGGTTGCACAGAGGCATCGTTTGTGCTTTAACATATGATTCAAAGGCCCCACAAGCGTGAAAACTGTGGATATCTGCATAATTTACCCGATGCCGGCAAACATTTTGATGTCTCTTCTCAACATTTAGAACAACAAGAAACTCGTGAAAATAAAAGTTGCTGTGAGGGAGGCCTGAACAGCTGATGTCTCAGTGAGAACAGAGGTCATACTGCTGCGTGTATGTGGGTTGGATGTCATGTGGTGGTCGACTCACAGTCATTCCACAACCCGATTAGTTGACAGTTATTTGCTTCCTGTATTTGGTGTGACTGACAGCATCTCTACGTTTGCGATGCAGTTTTTGCAGTCATACCGCGACCGGGTCTGACTGAACAAATGACGTCTATGCGTAATCCACGTCGGCTGGGACATCGCTCGACTTCCCATCATTTATTTTAATTTGTTCTGTTTTTACACAAGGCTTCATTCAGCTCGTCTTCTTAGCTGCGACAGTTAGATGGACATCCAAGTAGTGGAACTACCCTTTTTTTTCCTTTCCAAACAACTCTTTAATTCTTTAATCAGCATAACTGCCGCTGGCCGATGACCTTTACACAATAACACGATGCCTCGCAGCAGTTCAAACTCAGCCTGGACTTTTTCAGCTTTCTCCTGCCATTAAAACAGGAGAAGCTCTCTATGCATGTGTCACGGTCTGTGGAGACAGGCCGTGCGGTGGTGTGTGTGATGGACCCAGGTGCGTACACAAGTGAGTAGACGGGAGTGAACTTAACAGAAACTGAGCCTTTATTATGGCTGAAGACAAAGTGTACAAACAAAGCAGGGATAGCGTGACTAAACTAGACTATAACTAAACTGGGAAAACTAATACTGTGACAAACTAAGAAGACTCAGAGACTATGATGATCACTGCAAAGACTGACCGTGAAAACATGGAGGTGAGAACGCAGACGACGCGACACTGAACACAGCAAGACTGAGGACTAAATACACACATGAGGTGATCGGGGGAAGTGGAGACACATGAGGACACAGCTGACTAGAATGAAACATAATTACAGGGGAGAGTAAACTAAATGCAGTGAACAAAGAACACCAGACTCTTTCAAAATAAAACAGGAAACCCAGACACATGAAGATAAATCATGACATGAACTTAACATAACCACACAGACATGAACCTTGACAGGTAGACGCACGAATCAGGGAGACTGAGTACAGGGGGAGATGACAGAAACAACTAAGAAATAAAGGACTAAATAGCCACCTAGAAATTAACTAGATCAAAAATGGATACAAAAATACATAAATCTCAAACACTGGGTCACACGACTCAGCCCATGACACATGTTGTGGGTTGCCAGGTTTGCCAGCTTCATGCATATACAAGCTAAGCTGTGTCCCGTACCAGACGATGCATATATTTTCCTCAGAGAAACAGAAAATACGAGGCTGCTGGGAGATGGTCAGAAAACCCAGTAAACACAAGTATTTACAGGTATGACTACTTAATATTTTTATTTAGTAAATGCACGTCAGCACTAAAGAGGAACAAACTGTGTTTTTAGGAAACAGGAAACAGTAAATTTTAAAAGAATGTGATTACCTGTAGCATCTCCCTGCAGATGTAGGCTATCTGTGGCTCGGACAGAGGACCCGTCACTGTGGAACATGATGCAGTTTTTAACATACAGATTCAAAACAGTCACAGAAAAGGGTTAATTTAGCAATCGTTTTTTATTCAAACGATTAAATTCAATTGAATTAAATTCAGGCTGCAGATTTAAAAAAAGATATTTCTGGTTTTCAGAACATTTCTGACCAGCTTCACTACAAATAAGCACAAAGACACATCTTAAAAAAGGAAATCACGATGCTCAGTGTAGGGAAACGATCTGAACTGTCGTTTCCTTTTAAGGTTTTTAATGCTTGCACAAAGACTTGTGCGCCGTTAATACCTGTGGATCTGTATTCAGCACTGTTTTGGCCTTTCGTGCAGAAATTTGTCCTCGTTAAGAAGCAGAATAAACCCAGCTGCCTGTGCAGGATGTCTGAACGCCTCGAGCTTTCACGCTCGTGGATCTTTTGTTGTAAATCAGCTATAACCCCGTTATAAATTGTGGTATTGTTAAGGCGGCCTCACACTCATATTTATAAAAAACTGCCCTCCTTAATCTTTTTAAAAGTGCTTTAAAAGGCGACTTTCAAGATGTCTACAGGTTTTCTAAACCTTCGTGTTTTCTTCGGTTGAATATTTTGGGTATAACTGGTTAAATATTCACATGTTATGTAAAGGATTGTACATGTCTGTGTGTCTCTGACACTGATGATGTTCAGACTGATTGTGAATAGCTTTCCATCAGCCTGATTTCTAGCTCGTTTCTTCCATAAATGCATGAAACAGACTAATACTTAATATTTAACACTTTTCTACTCTCACTTTAAGCCAAGCCACCTTTCCCCATTCACACTTCTCTTTATTCTCTGCCATAAAAAGCTTTGTACTCACTGCACACACACAAAATTGCCCAAAGACAATTGAAGAAATTGAACCTGTGACTTTTAACGTAGCATGAAATGCCCTCTAGCTCCTGAGCCACAACTGCTCATTACAAATAAATATTATCAGTATTTCAGGTTTATAATAAATGTAATCAGAATACAAAGACAAGCATCATGTTCGTGCTCGCAGCTCTGCTCTGCCCTCTGTGATGAATGAGTTATGGCTGTGGCTCAGGAGGCGGAGCTTATCTAGTCCACATGCTGCTCTTTGGGTCAGACTCTGGACCCTTTAGCTGTTTTCTAAAAGGTGCGTTGAAAGGCACTTCTTAGCATTAAGAGTGAATTACAAAATATTACTAAACACAGTTAATTTCAATATCATTTTTTTGATGTCAAACCCAGCTACTGCTGGTCCAACGTCCCAGTAAAGCTGGGTTCTCTAAGCACCAGTCAATTTTCCATCATCAGCTGAGAAAACCCCAGAAGGACAGAGTCTCTGCACGCTGTTTTCATTTTAAACTAAAGGTTCATGTGGCTGTGTTTGCTGGTTAAAGACTCAGATGTTTTACAGTTTTCACTGTTCGGCTGCTATCTGTCATTTACTGAAAGGGAAAATCACTGACACATGTGAACGAGAGTCTCACGCTGGCACAGTTTATATTCTTTTTTTGGAAAGCATGAAAGTGTGGGTGTGGGAAAAAAAGATCCTCTTCTGTCTCTTTTTCCACACAGAAAGGATTGTTGGGTCCGTATCAATCCACTCGCACAGGCAGCGATTATATCAGTTATCTGACAGTTGGAGACACTTTTGCATCTTATCACGCTCTGGTGGGCCGACCTTGTGTCACATGACTCACCGTGGTAGATATCCTGGAGGGAGCCTCCGCCGCAGAACTCCATACAGATCCACAGTTTGTTAGCTCTGCAGACAGACAAGGAAGACCTGTGCGTTAACTCCGAGGTTAAGAAAACAGGAGGGAGGCAGGAACGAGAAACAGGGATCTTACCGAATGTAGCTGCCATAATATGCCACGATGTTGCGGTGCTTGCAGCTCTTTACGATGATGATTTCCTGCTGGATGATAGAAAAATCGTCCTCTGTGGGGTGAGACACAGAAGACACGTCTTTATTATCATCACCACCGCGTTAGACGCAAACAGAGGTGCAGTCGGAGGGCACGTTTCGTGTATTTTCACAGCCCTAATAGCACATTTTGGTTTATAAGTCACGCTATTGGGGCTGGATCTGCCTTTATATTGTGCAAAACTGGCTGCAGGTGCATCATGTTTTGACCAAAATAAAACATAAAAAATAAAGGGACTTGTTTTCTGCGTGTGTTATGTTGCTTTTTGTACTGTTTTCATTTGCCTGTGTTTTAAACCTCTTGCAAATCCTTTCCCTCTGTTTTTCGTTCAATATTTTTCATTTAAATTTAAATTTTTAAGCTGATACACTTAAATAATCAGTCTCTCATTTTTGCAGGTCAAACTAATCAGACATGATTTCCATCCGTTTGATGGAAAATAATGAGGATGATCATACTGCTGCCTTCTTTGGTCGCTGGTAGAATCTAACAGTTTCCTGCCTCTGTATGTGTGATTTATGTGTTTGTTCCAACTGTTGCTCCAACGATTTTGTAAAATTAAACCTCCCTAATCAAAATACAATGATGACTGGACGCAGTAATTGCACTGCATTAAAAACAAATTCAAGATCTTTGCTGCAACAAAGCTGCAACAAAGCTGCAACAAAGCTGAAATAATATTTATTATCTTTGTCCATAGACGAGATCAAACATCTACAGCCCAGCAAAGATGGCTAAAACGCTGATGTCATCTCTGTGGTCCAAACTTGTCATAGTGCAACTGCAAAAACTGAAATGTACCAGGTTTAGACAGAAGGTCTTTTACAGAAAGCCTTAAAAAAGGCATCTGAACAAACCACAAAACAATTGTGGAACAATTTCGTTTGGAACACCAACCACAGCACAAACACCTCATGCTGTCAACACGGGGGTGGAGGGCTGATGATTCGGGCTTGTTTACGCCCACATGACTTGGTCACCTTGCAGTGAACCGTGAACTCCTTTCTATAGCAAAGTATTGGTAGCTGTCTGACAGCTAAAGCCCGGCCAAAATTGGGTCATACAACAAGAGAGCGACCTCAATCTACAACAGAACGGCTGAAAATCAAAAGAATGAAAGTGCTGGAGTTAGCGCTGCCACGATTAGTCGACTAGTCACGATTACGTCGACTGTCAAAATCGTCGACGACTGATTTAATAGTCGACGCGTCGTTTGAAGCTTTGTAAGATCACAAAAGACGCAGGAATAAGTAGTAGGATTTAAGAGTGTAATAACGGACTGAAACAGAAGATGGCAGCACTGCATGTACAAGGATGCCAGCTGCCGTTAAACCCCGAAGAAGAAGAAGCTGTGTCCAAATTCAGGAACTGCATCCTCCTGTGCCTGCATTTGTAGGCCGATTACGTTACAGCGACACGACGAAGACTGTCCAAATTCGAAGACTCCGACAAATGCGCCCTTCATTTCCCCAGATTTGAAGGATGGGTCGGGTGTATCCTTCGTGGCCCAACCTATCCCAGAATTCATAGCGCAGCCCAGCTCAGTTTCCAACAATGGCGGCAGCTAGTTAGTTTTAATATTACTCTTATTATTCTTTCTGGGTCACAAAATAAACGTGTAACATATTTTCAAACTGTGTAAACCTCAAATATCTGCTCAGTTTATCAAGACACCACATGTCTGTGAAGGTTCTCAGTCATCCAGGTCATCGTTGTTGCTAGAAGACGTTTCACCTCTCATCCGAGAAGCTTCTTCAGTTCTAAGGTCAAATGGCGGAGAGTCCCAGATTTAGACACCACATATTTTCAAAAGCGCTCCAACGTTTTCGGAGACCTCTGTTACCCACTAGCTCGATAGCTAGCCGGGGTTCAAGGCTCGAGAATGTACTCCGGTGTCCTGTTATATTTTAGATAGCAAGGAGTTTATTAAACTCCACCGAGACAATCTGCAAATTTCATTAAAATTTAATAAACTATCATCTTGTCTTTATTTTTAGTTAGCACATACTTTAAACACTTAAAGCTGTAAGCTAATGATAGTTATATAAGAGCAGATGCTGCTGGTGCAATAAGCTGTATGTTTTACGTCCAATGGATGATGATCTGATTAGGTGACTAATTGCAAAAATAATCGGTGACTAGTCGACTATCAAAATAATAGCTTGTGGCAGACTGAGCTGCAATGCTCCGGTCGGAGTCCAGACCTCAGCGACTGAAATGCTGCGGTGGGGCCTTCAGAGAGCCGTGCATAAATCAATGTCTGCAAACTTCAATGTCATGAAGCAAGTCTACTCAGTTTTTCATGTGACTGCTGAAACATCCCAATTCTGTCTTATTTGTTGCATGACAAACTCAACCTATTTGTACTGTTAGAGCCTCTGTGTGTGTCGGCACCTGATGCCAGTATTAAAAACCTTGTGATGCAGACGTGTGAGTGGGACTTGGGCAGCTCAGTAGGAGAGCGTGCCGAAGGAAGGGTTCGTAAGTTTAAGTCCCCCCTGCAGATCACTGGACCTCGAGCCAACACTGAGGTAACAGCTCGACGTCGTCTCAACTTTCACACTTCAACGTGAACACGAAGAATCACAAGAATTAAAAGATGATAAAAATCAAGCAATAGTTTGAAGATTGAGGTAAATCTCTCACCTGGCTCCATCTTGATAACTTTGATAGCTGTCAGCTCTCCATTCTGCTTGTTCCGTGCCTGAAAACATAAAAAAGACAGATAATTGTATTTTTTATAATGTAGCGCATCAGTCACTTATTAGATCTCAGCACTTTGGTGGGTTTCTTTTGCTTTTGTTGTTTTCTTGTGTGCCAGTAGAAGCTTAATTTGCATTTTTGCTGTCCAGATCAGTGGAGTGCAAGATACAGCCCACTGCACAAAGCTGTGGCATTAAACACTCACACACACACACACTCACACACACACACACACACAGACATATGATGACCTTTAAAAGTGTGATCCCAGAAGGTGTCACTTCTCTTTGCGCACTTATTTATAAAAGAACTATAAAAAAACGCTCTCATACGCACAAACATTTCCTCCGAGTTGAAGCTCGTGCGCTACATTCTCACACACGGTAAAAGCCGTACCGAGAAATAAAAACGGCACAATTATTTTTGTCCAACCGCTGCGATCGATCTAGGCGCATTGTTCCTTTGGCTGGCAGAGACGATTAAAGCTCTCTTACATGAGGGTGATCGCACACATCATGTGACATGAGACGAACAGCACCACTCAGAAAGTCTAGCCTTGTAATGATGAAGTCTGAAAAGAAACTGAGTGAGGTTTAATCGCTTCACAGCTTGAGTTGTGCGTCACAGTCACACACGCACACAGACTTCACACGGTCAAGTAAAGTCAAGTGAAATTTACTCACAAGCACATTTAAAACCAACAAACTGGTGAAGAATCTGTAGTTTGGTCATTAAAATAAAATCACCAAGAAGGAAATTCGTGCGAAAGCAGTAAAAGCAAAGGTCTCAAAGGTCTTCAGTGCTGATGAGTACCTGATAGCAAAGACCAGCGTCAGGACCTCGGTACACACAGTATCAGCAGACCTCAGTGATCATGTGGGAGTATGAGGTTAAAATAAATGTGCGAGGAAGGGCACGCCATTCTCACAATAACTTACTGATAAAAATAAACTCACAAAAGCAGGTCGAACACTGTTCCACGCTAAACGCAAAAACACGGTGAGGAAAGACGAAGGCCAGCAAACCGTCTCTCAGCAGCAAAGCTGTAATTTTTGAGTTGGTCTGAGCAGGTCTCGATCCCAGACCTGCCAGATAGCAGACAGAGACAGAGACACTGCTCCATAACGAACACGAGGCATCGAGGACGAATTAATGTTTCACAGCTGTCTCACGTTTTAAAGGTTTTTGTTATTTTTTTTAACCAAAAGCAACACTAGGTGTTCAGTTTTATTTGTCATATGCAAGTTAGCACAGGGTCAACATTGCAATGAAATGTGTTTGCCGAGCAGCAGTCACTCAGCAGCATGATACAGAAAAAAATGATACAGAAAATATAATAAAATAAAATATAAAAATATAAAAATAGTAAGGAGCTAAATATTAGAGAGACATGGTGAAAGAGAAAAGATGACTAAATATATATGTATCTATAAATATAAATATATGTACACTAGTGATTAAATAAGAAAATCTTGAAAAGAAATATGACGGGAGCGTAGATGGGATATTGCACAGGAATGAGCAGCAGAAAATTACAGTATTGCACTTTAAATATAAATATCAATGACAATAAAGTGAAGTGACCAGTGCAGATTAAACAGAGTACTTGTGAAGCTGCAGGGTAGCTTCTGAGTGCTGTGTTGTGTGTGTTTAAGTGCTGTGGTTGAGGTGTCGTATGGCTTGGTGGTAAAAACTGTTTTTAAGTCTTGTAGTCCGAGCAGACAGACTCCTGTAACGTCTGCCAGATGGTAACAAGGAGAACTTGTTCATGTTGGTCATCTCCATGGTAACCAAATTTTAGACAGATATCATGTTTATCATTGTAAATCTTCTTCATTTTAACAGAGACTTTAAGACTTATGAAACATTTTTGGCTTAAATAAATCCTTGTATTTAGTACAGACTTACACAACTAGTTAACAGTTAAGCTTTAGCATTAACTGCACTAGAAACATCACCGAGTTATTTATACTGTATTAACCTCTTAAGCCCCAAGCCTAACTGATCTCCTGCCCTTTGCCCCCGTATCAGGGGGCGTTGGGGTTAACTGTTGAGACTAATCACTAGTCAGAGCTGCAAGCCCGATACGTGTGAAGGGAAGTTGTACATAAGCAAGGCACCGAAAACTGCAGGTGCTACTTTGGCTGGATGGTTCTTATATATCATACAGAATATAGAAACAACCTTTAACCCTGTCTGTGAGATATTTTCCCGTAAAGGTTTCAAAAAAGGAAAAGGGACCACAAAAGTGGTCGCCTACAGCAGATCAGTTACAGAGGGGGAGCTTAGCAAGAGGCGAAAATCCACAAACAGATGCTGTAATACACAAGGAAACAAAAAACCCATGAGGGGTAACGCAAAGGAAGTAGGAAATGTGCAGAGACAAGGCGATGTGGGAGGGAAACAGGTGAGTGTGTATCACAGCAGCGTGATTAACTGACTGGAACAGGTGTGATAGAAAAACCACAGGGGACACTGACTGTGACAGAAAAGACATCTGAAACCTGACGAGGAGTAACCGATGAAGTCACATTTAAGGCCCACTTATAGAACAAAATGACCTGGTTTGCATCAGAGGTTAGCGAGGGTG